ACGCCGTTATAAGGCCCGGAGAGATAACAGGAATTGCTTCTTAATTGAAAAAGAAACCATCACGGTGAGTACAATGTTTTCCAAAACCCACTTCTACTCGACCTTGGCATGAATGATCAGTATGTTGTATCACTAACAAGCGTTAGGAAAAGTTCTATCCTAGCTGTTTTTCGATGATGTCGTCACCTTTAGAGCTGAAATGGCAGATTTCTTCCCGACGATATGTCACTGACTCTTCGAAATTGCACTGGGTTAAGTAAAGTGGAGCATCGTACGGTTTTTATGTTTATGTAACTGTTTACTCGTTCACTGTGGTTGCGGAGAAGTTGCTCCTGGGTGTTAAACGCCGTTGTACAGCAGCAGGCGACAGAATCATTTTAAACTGGAGAGGAGAGTTATTTCGAATCTAGTTTGATAGAAATGTATCGCAAGCAATTACGCTGCTTCTAAAAGAAACTAATCCTTCTAAAGCTCCCTTTAATCTAGAATGGAGCATAGGAGTGCCTATGGTGACTATCTACTGCTGGCCCGATACGGTTTTCTCGAGGCTCTAAAAACAGTATCCCAGAGAAATGCGAGAAAAGAACATTTGCTCAGAGACGAGACAACGACGGAAAAATATGCTGGAGCATGCAACGCTGAAGGCATTAAGATGTTAAGGTAAAAAGGTATTGCTAGATATTATGAGGAATCCGAAGACCTTATAAATGGTTTTCACATCAACCACTCAAAAAGAAAACTCTCCTTCTCATAAAATCACGGAGAAACTATAGAATACTAATTTTTGTTTATTTCCATCATTCAAAGCCGAATATTTCATTTTTATGGGTGATTTGCAATATTTTGCAAGCTATAGAAATGGAAGAAAATTATGCAATATTAACCTGATGCGTTGGTTCTAAATATACGAAATCGAATTGCTTTGTCTAACAATGATAGATTGAAGCTAGGGAATGGATTTCCCCATAGAGTGGTTTAACATTAATGACAACAACGATGCTGAGATATTTGCAAGACTCCGGAACGCAGGTAACTGCGATGGCGAGCGAACGCGCTGTTACCCTTCTCGGCGGCTAACACGTTCACCACGTTCACCTGTCTCTCAGCTAGTTCTATCGTTCTGTGCCATCAGAAATCAGGCGTCAGCGGGATTGATCTGGGTAGCGCAAACCAGCATTGAACCCAGTTACGTTGAGGCCGTAGTTGAAATCACAATGTTCACTTCTATTTTCTACCTACTAGAGCTTAACTGGGTTCAAAGCCGATGTTGATTCCCCAGACCAATTCCGCTGACGGGTGATTACTGGTGGCATTGAGTGATAGAAAACTAGCTGAGAGACGGGCGAAACGAAGGACCCGCATGGTGTGGTAGTGAACGCTATAGCCTAGGAAAGAGTAATCGCGCGTTCGTTCCCCATCGCAGACACCTTCCTACATTCCGGAGTTCGGCAAATGTTTCAGCGTCATTGTGATCATAGCACACGTAATACCCCGCCATAAAAAATTATAACAGGCAGTTAATAAAAAGTTAAAATTAATTACAACATTAGATTAATTATTAACTAGCACACCATTATTAGCAAACTAATATTATACTGCTATTAATTACTACCTTATTGTTAATTACATACATTATTTTAACCAGCACACTGGTAACTAGTAGACTAAGACGAAGATGTCGAAACATCAGCCTAATAACCTTCTTTATCAACCTCACCTTAGTTTAACAATTCAAAAAGGTACATCATTATCAAGTTTACTATTAACCCTCGCATCATCACACCAGTAGATGGTGAATACCACTTCAATTCGATGAAAAGTTGTCGTGGACAACATTTGAGCTTAGGAGCAGGCTTGAACGGACGGAAGAAAAATTGAGAAATAAAAAAGGATAAAACCATCATGCTGATGTTTCGGATATGTCAACATCAGATCCTTTAGCTCTTAGTTTTTTGAACTGCAAAAAGATTAGTCGATGACTAATAAAAAATCTCACTATTTCAGCGCCATAAGGAACGGTGGCCAACGTTGTTGTGCTAGACAAAAAATTTCGGGATAAATTTAGAACTTAGACGAAAAGTAGGTTGAATAGTGAAACCAAAGCCGCATTAAAAGAGGAAATTAACTGCTCAAAAAAGAGTCATTTTCGACTTCTGAAATAAGCAGATTTGAGGTCTATTCAAAGCGTTGATGGCATTGCAATACACGTGCCATGAACGCATGTAGCGCAGTGGCTAGAAGGGCAATACACACTTAGTCTTTGGTTCAATCTCGTGGCTCGAACAAAACAAACCTTCCACGCTGTTGCCGGTAAATTATTATTAGACTTTTCTGGGAGAATGGTAGCACTAACTGATCACATCGGTAAACCACTGCGAATCATTCCAGTACAGTCCAGATATGCAATCAATACTTGGACTCCAAAGTTACCGGTTCACTTTGGAAAATAATATGGCTGCAAATTTTCATCGATTCAATCCCCTAATTAGGGCAAACCGAGCGCCACCACTCCCATGATTTCGGTATCACCAAATCGGTACCGAACATGTCTACGCACATGGAAATATTTCCTTGAACAACCACATCGCGACATCGACCAGCCGAGGACCATCGACTCGGATTAACGCGGCTCTGAGGAAGACAGAGGAGTCGAAAAGTTAGCCGAATAATAGTTTTTGTACCAACCTCGTGTCAGCTGAATTGTACAGATAATTACTTCCTTGATGCACCAGTAGGTCTTAATCTATTTGTACCGACCAAATGTGCACTGAATCACCTCTATGAATCGAGTAAAATTCATGGTGCATCGTCTGCGGAACAGTCAGCGCCAAGTGTTTTATCCTTTTTGGTGCTAGCCAATGCCGCGCTTTTTTGCGGTGATCTGAACTGGATCCTTAATTGTTCACAATAAAGCAAAGGAAACCAGTCTTTCGCTCAATCAAGTATTTACATCACCGACAGAACCTCTCTACGCACTCTGTGAGTGGAATGGAATCATATAAACTTTCGCAATAAACTCGTGTAATTCTCGATTTCTGGAGTAACTCCCAGGTAGTTATTGATTTATTACTTGAATATTTGAATGGCTTGTCTTCAAAAGTTTCGTACTGGTTCTAAGAACAATTTCCGCTTCCGTCGTTTTCTTCCTCAGATATCGCAAGGATGCCACGCAACACAAGTTTTACCTCCGTTCAAAAGCATCTACTACACAGCAGTAGCTGACGTTTCGGCAGTACTGCCTTCTTGAGAGCTTGGAAGGATATACTGATGTGCTCTAATTCTCTATTCCAAACGCTTCAATAACACAGAAAAGGACTAAAATTTATGTGGTAATCATACTATCGACAGCCTCTCGAAAACGCACCTTTAATTACGCGATTTCCACTGATGGGGAAGAAATAATCAGAGTCACATTTGGCTGACGACTGCACCACCCCACATCAAGAATCGATGCGAAGATACGGGGCCAAATCTCGTGTGACCTCTGCGCATTCCTCCTTGCTTCTAGGGTTCTTAGTATTTATCCAAAAAGCCTAAAGAAGGTTTTCGTGCTGGTGTTTTGGCATCCTGTTCGAGGATAGTGACTTTTATATCAAAAACCTCTGTGCTATGCTTTTGTATCTCATGCACCTCTAGTGGAGTACTTTGTCTGGTTCTTCGTTTGCTATCTAGGTGTTCTTTTATACGCATACATAAAGGTCTGCCCGTTACGCAATATTTTCGTCTCTGCAAGTATTACGAGAGATCAGGTACATCGTAGTTGAACACATGCAGTCACCGTCCCTGACATAAGGTCAAATTATGCAATTCTTTGTTTCACATAGACGGTCATATAGGCGGTTACGAACTAATTGAAGACGGAGAGTATCCGGTCGAATTTCTACTGTCGTAACCGATACCTCTTGAATGTGTCCTTCCTAAGCACCGTTTTATAGCTACACTTACTTCATCGCTGGTAAAGGGCAGCATAAACGGGATTTTCTTTTGGCCAAGTTTTCGCTTTTTTTTCGCTTTCTCGTAGAGTTACTATTTTAATTTCCATTTGGTATATACGTTGCTGATTGAGTACGAAATTTTTCCGCTCAAGTCTGGAGAAGGCCGTGCCAACCCGTTGCTGTCTCATTACCATACGCAATCACTGGCAGTGGAGTATTTTTTCTCAGTCGGAGCGAACTTTGCGTCTTGTTATGTCCTAACGTGTCGGTGGAGAAGAAAAAAAAAACTTTGTTGTACAATAGAGTACGACAAGACGAATATAAGGTAAACCCAGGAATGGATGGTAATCGGATAAGGATAAAATATAATGCACTCGGCTTTGATCAGTTCCTGAGATATGCGTCATGGATTCCACTCTATTCGTAGCATTGTAGAAGTGATTGGATGCATATTTGGTCTATACAATAACCTGGAAAGCCTACTGGTGTATAAAGGATATGTTTCCTTGCTCCCATACAAGTCCGGTAGCAATTTGCTGATACCGAAATGATGGTTTGCTCTGGTCTAGGAATCGGTTCGATGACAGTGTGTAACCAAACTTGTAGAAGATGAATCGATAACTTTAGAAGGGAAATGAAGAGGAAGAAGAACTGATAGTAAGCTCAAATGGAGATGTTTTTACTTTCGAAACATTTCTGAAAACCTCGTTCGATTCCTTTGAAAGAGTAAAGCAATCGAATTTAATTCTTTGCCAAGAAGAACACTGATATTTGAAGAAGCATTTTATCTTCAAGACTTTTATCTTTTATCTATTCCAAAACACATTTTTACGATTTTCACGTTCACATTGAAACTAAGTCACGTAACTAAATAAGTCAGAACGCCTTTGGCTAGAAGCGCTTCTTATTAATAGGCTAGAATTTCAACCTTTTTCATTAATTTGAATAAAGAAAACAACTTCAAAGTAACGAATTCGAAAGTATGAAGCGAACTTTCTTTCTTTCTTTCTTTCTATCTTATAGCTTTTTTATAACTTTGCGTAAACCAATTAGGTTTTTTTACAATTACTTATTGCTAGCAATAATTTCGAGGCCAGAAGAATTCCGTTCGAAAAGATTTAATAGAATTAAAATAAGATACTTACGTAATCCAGCAGAAAGTGCTCCCACAGTGGCCAATCGCATGTCACGAAGTTTGAACAACAGCACGTTCACCAGTCGCCTTGGTGTCTTGCGGAACACCGGCACCGACAGCGAACGCGGAATCCGCTTCAACGACGTCGGCATATGATATTCGGTACTATCAACGACAGAGGATTCTTGGCGATTAAATTCTGGTTGATTCTATTGTGTCGAAGGTTAAATCAGATCTGGTGGACAAGCAGCAAACGTTATGTTGCGATATCAACAACAATGCATGGAGTAGGGGGTGTGGCAGAAACAATAGAATAATTGCTCCACCCCCGATCTATCAGAACACGTTTTCTGGGAGGAAAGCTCGCATAGCCACCGTAATGAGCTGAAAAACAGGGATTCAGCGGGACTCACCTTTCAGAACTTCCAGTGGTCACTAAAATTTTACAACCAATTCAATATTATCTATCACATTTCTAAGTAATTAAATTACGTTTCACCACGTCACTTCTGGGTTCTGGTTAATGGTCATCGTCTGGATTCCATAACATGAAAAACTCCAAGGAAAAAATCTTGTAGACAACAGTGTTGACTACCGTGATTTAAGAAAAACATTTCAGGAACACTCCATTCGCGTAGGAGAAACGTGACGATAATGAACTGAATAATTTTGCGACAAAGCGGAACTGAAGAAGAAGTCTGGACTTTAAGGCAAGATCTTGTTTTTTGTTCACAGACGTGTTGTGTCGGAAAAATATGGTAGTTAATGAAAGCATTTAAAAATGTGTACACTCTATTTCATAGAAATGACCATCTTTTAAATAAAGAGTGATGATGACAAGCACCATTGAGACCTGATACAAACAAGGGATAGGATAGAGGGATAAAGCGTTCGGCGTTGATTAATCCCTTAGGGAGCAATTCGTTCGACTTCGTCGAACATTATTGAGATGTTAACCGTTTTATTTACTGCAGTCTTTTTAATGGCAGAGTATATTGCGAAATATTGCTTCAATGATGCTCAGATATTTGCAAAACTCCGGATTATTGAGATGATTTAAAGCACGTACCCCTTAAACAAGGATTTTCGGTGGTTAGACGTTGCCGACCACAGAGGGATGGATGACTTGGTAAGCATGTGACCTGGTTCGAACCAGTGTTTTTTCTAGGGTGTTTTGCAAGACGTCTCTAACTACACTACACGTGCCACTATTAACAACGTTCAAATTAATAATGAGCGCATATAGCACAGTGGTTATAGTTCCTTTCCAATACATGTGCTGCCGCATGTTTAATGCGGTCCTGGCTAAACAAGCCGTCTATCTTTCTGGGATCGGCGAATTGCTAGCAGACTTATTTGGAATGAGAAAAAAGATTCACTCAGACACCTTTACGATGCCTAGCGGAGTCAAATGCACAAGGCATCCCTAAGCGATTGATCAACGCCTATAGCGTTCTTCTTTCTTTTTTAATTTTTGCACCTTCTTACAGTTTCTGACTTTCTTAGTGTTCAGAAAGCAAAAACATGACGAATTTATTCATGGCCATTCTGAAATAGAAAGACATTATGAAGGACGAGTGTCTCTGAAGAGGTTTGACAGCAGCACGCAAAGTGGTAACGGCTCTTTTGGTCACTTATGTCAGCTTACGATTTAGACAAACAAGTTCCTTCATGTAACGAATTCGCTAAAGAAGGGAAAGAAGAAGGTTTTGAGAAAAAATATCAACACATGTAATGCGTGCAAGATAAAAAGGATAAAGGATAAGGCTTTCGGAGTTGATCAATTCCTGAGGAATTCACCGTGCATTCGACTTCATTAAGCATCGTTGGAGGTGATTGAATGCGTGTTTAGCCTACACTCGTGGTGCCCTACTCCAGTGCTGCTATCCTCCAAGATAGGTGTGGTGCCAATTTGCCAACTACGGAGGGATAGTACGCTTGGTGAGCCTGGGAGCGCGATCGATCTTATATTGTAGCGCCCCTCTAATCAGTGCGCTACACGCGCCCGTTTATTAATTAAAATCAATTATGCTTGGCAGATAGCTGAGGTGTTCACGATAAGATACCATAGCACTAGTGATAAGCCCGTGTAGATTTCAAGATTTTTGTGATATCTTGGTAGGCTTCACTCTATTGAGAACGGGTGTAGGTCAAAGGACCTCCGCGTGAATTCGATGAAAGTGATCTCATTTACCGCAAAAGCGAACTATCAAAAGAGGACTCATGAAGAAGAGAAAATATGGAGCGAAAATCAGAACCGACGCTTAAAAAAATGTTGTTTAAGAATAGCAAGAATGATTTCAATAAGTTTTGAATGAAAACATAATCTTTATTTCTACGCTATAACAGTGTTACTAATATGTGTTTATATTGTTGAGATTACACGAGGTTGTTAGAGAAGTTTATTCGGCGAACGTTTCGACGTCTTCGTCTTCATCATGTTCTTCAGTTGAGCATCTCGAATGAGCCATACTCACCCGGAGACGCTCTTTTATACAAGGTGATCGGTTGCAGAATTATTGTTTTGCTGCTCGATATGTGCTAATTTACAAAATACCGACTTCCAAAGGGTGGATTTTCCGTTGGGAAACAAATTCTTATCAACGGAAAATCGTATCAACAACAGCCGACCTGCACAAAAGATCGCCGCCGGGTGAGTATGGCTTATTCGAGATGCTCAACTGATAGGGATCCGGTTCGATACGAGAACGCCACATCGAGAAGAGAAACAACTGTGGACCATCGACAAGGATCGTCGGCTCTGATGAATACGAAGACCTCGAAGTGTTAGGCGAATAAACGTCTCTAACGATCTCGTGTAAGCTCAACAATATAAACACATGTTGACTATTATGGCACCGACGTTAGATGACGGTCGGTTCCAAAAATACTGTTACTAATAGTCTATCTAACGTTTCGTTCTTATCACATCGCCAATCAATGGATTCGAACGGTAGATGGAAGGAAATCAATAAGCCGAAGAAAAGAACTGGGTTAGATGAGGAACGTCCGGAAGGAATGGAAGTCAATATTATGTTATTTACTTTCGAATGATAAAATTAATGCATTTTATGGTTTAGATATGGCAGGTATTTAATTCAGTTCTCAGAAATCTTTCTCATAAATCGTCGTTAATGAGGCTTTTCGGGTTCATAACTGAGGATAGTTACTTTTTTAGTTGTTGGCAACGACTGCATTTATTAGAAGACTGGGAACTTCCACGGGATATGATTCCTATTATTGTTGTTATTGATTTCAGTACTATTATTATTAATGGCATCATTAATGTTATTATCATCAACAACGTCGTGATGCTCGATTTCAGTTGAATGGGATGAAGTCAAAACAGACACTGACACCCTCAGACACCAGAAATTTTCTTCAGTCAATCATGTGCACTTTTTTGCTCTTAAAGAAAATTTCTCAGTTAATAACGCACGTTTGAGAAATATCCAAGTAACCGGAGAAAGGTTATTCAAATATGTCAGAATGCAAGGGAGCTAGGAGCGAGATGGTTAAAGGTGCTGAGAATTTAGTTCGATCTGCCACACTGTGCTAATCGAGGCCTCTGACTCTTCAGGATTGGCAAATGGATGCAGCACTTGTTTAGGAGAATAAAAAATAATGGTACGATGCATTAGTAGGCCACGGTAAATCATTATACAAGCTAAATATGCATTCAGTCACCTCCTCGATTCCGTGATTGGAGCTAAATGCATGACACACCATAAAGACCATAAAGAGATTGGTCAACTTCGAACGTTCTATCCTTTACACAATGTGTGACTCTCTTTTAAATCGAAAATCTTTTGTCAGGTAGCGAGAAAGATCCGAGAGACAAAATCCATAATGAAGTGCGGTCAACGTGGATTCGGATCAAGGCAATGTTGTTTTAGCAAGGATGGCACTTATAAACTCCATGATATCTCAAGAAGAAAAATCGAAAATCAAAGTCGAATAAGTATTCGAACAACTGGAATGTCTATTATACCTCTATATTTATTACTGCTTGAAGTCGATCACACGGGACACCGCCTAAACACTTGCAAAACTTGCTGCTTTAAGACAATCTTACCCACAACTCTGTTGCCTTGCTTTTTCCATCGAAAACCAATAATTTGCCCTCTTTTTCAAAACTTTACTACGGTCTCACCTTTGTCGTCTTTATTAGTTCTATTAGGATTGGGGAATTCGAACACATTTTTTTCATTTTCCTGCACTTTAAAAATGGGCTGGGAAAGTGCAGTGGTTAGTGACGCCGATGATCAAGAAGCAAAGGTGCTAGTTTGTTATCCGTCTCACACTCTCCTCTGATCCACTTAGGAACGCCGTAGCCTGGTTATCTCCAGAATAGCAAGGAGAGTTGGCTACCAGCATTCTACGACATTCACAAGGAAGACGAAATGCTCAAGTAGCAGCTCAAGCAACACGCGAAATGTTCGAAGACCACTGTGGACGAAAAATGCGAGTGAAACGAACCGAGCGCAAGAAGCACTGCGCTTCACATTAGATATGCTGATACGTTATGTATAATAAAGAAACTTCAGAAACTACGGCAGATTGTCAACTATTACTTATCACCAATTAATCGATAAAACTGCTACCGTCCTTGTGTACGAAACCAAGACGTAACGTGACAAACCCTCCTTCGACCAGCAAAAGCCAGATGGTTAAAACTAATTGACACTTCTAGAAAATCAAGAATAAGCGCAATAACGTCAAACCTTTGCGCGTAGAGAATAATTCATCCATTATCTCAAATTAAGAACGAAGTTTGAAACATTCATTTGGAAACCCATACAATTGCAAACTCGTGCCAGAAATTGTTCGCTGTCTTGGAAAACAGCCTTTCGATTCAAACACGTCGCTGGCGAATCCTTGGAAACGAACTAGCATGGCTAATCGGCTTTCCTAAGATTCTAGAAAGAACCAAGTTGCATCGATATGCCAAAGAGCAAAGAGGAAAAGATGACAACCAATTCTCTAGCATTAAGGAAGTTTTCGATCAGAAGATAACAATTTCGAACTTTCATATAAATTACTTGATCAATGCCGAGGTTAGTAGAAAGTCGGTCGTGGGAGTTTCATATAACCTTTTTAAATATGAGTAGGATTTTTTTTGAAAACTGCACTATTACTTGAAAGATTTGAT